GTCTGTGACTCCCTCTCTCTCTGACCCTCCCCTGCTCACGCGCTCTCTCTCTCTCTCCCCTAGAAATAAATAAAACATTAAAAAAAAAAAAAAAAGTATGAGAAGAGGAGATGTGCCCCTTGGCTCCTGCTCTGTCTATGGCTGCTGCCGTGCTGTAGTCACAGAGTTGAGCAGTTGCAACAGAGACTACCTGGCCCACAAAAGCTTATTATTTTGCCCTTTACAGAAGTTTGCTGACCCCTTATCTAAGAAGCTAAGAGAAGCTATTAACTGAAAGAGGGAAACCGTGGAAGGAAGAGGCCTCAGGAGAGATTTGGAACTTGGTTTGGCAAACGGTAAGATGGACGCACCTGTAGAGATGTGCACCTCAGAGATGTCAAAGGGGCAGTGAGGTACAGGAGGTGATGCTTGGGGGAGAAGTGCAAGCTGGAGAAGGAAAGAGGAAGCCACTGGCATGAGTGCTGCTTAAACCGTGACACTGGACAAGAGCACTAAGGAGTAAGTACAGACACAAAAGATGTAGGGAATGAGCCCTGAAACGCTCTGAGGATTAAGTTAAGAGGGTGGGAGCCAAGAGAAATTAGAAAAAGTAGCTGAACCCTAGAAGTGGTCAATAAGGCAGAAACATCGAGAGGGCATGGCGTTCTGAGCACCAAATGACGGGAGTATTGCAACAAAGAAGGAAGTATCGATGTTAGATGCTGCTTGGAAGGTCCAGTAAAAACTGAGCATGGGATTTAACAACAGGAAGTCACTGAGGATCCTGATAGAACCACGTATGGAGGAAGGAGGGAAATTAAAAGCAACTGAAGTCGGTTCAAATAAGAGAGGGAGGAAGGACTGGTGATATGGAGTCTGGGCGATTTTTTTTTTTTTTTTTTTGATGAGGACCTCGTTGCCTATGTGACAGAAAGCATTTACTGTGAGGAACTGTCTAAATGGAAAATGTACTTCATAAAAATGCCCATTTCTCTTTTGATTATGGCCTCCATCCGGACTAGAGGAAAATCAGGACCCCGCTCTGGACCATACGGTTTACACAGCAATGATCCACGATCTGCATATGCACCTAGGCTCCACCTGGCTGTGTCTTAATCTTCTATCTTCTCTTCCATGCTTTTTCCCAGTGGACTATTATGTGCGTGTAGTGCTGCTCTCAAAATTGTGCACATTCTTAGAAATCTCAAATCCTTTGGAAATACAGCTCACCTGGGACTTGCTCAGTTTCAGCTGCTCTTGGGAAATGGTCACTGAGTCCAACATCTGCCCAAATGACTCTTCCAGCTCTTCTCTGAATCTTGCTAAGAGGCCTCTGGTCAAGAGAATCGTCAGGGACAAGACACTGTTTATTCAGAAACTCATGGAATCTGTCTTTTCCTGGAAAGTGAGACCTGTGGATTTAAGGGGAATATTTATGTTAGATGGCATATTAACTACAGGCCCTGAATCTCTACTTTTATTGTCGAGGCCTTATCCTCACATGTAACTCCAGGCAAGACTTTCTGGTGACTTTGATCAGGCTTCTGGGAACAAAAATACCCTTAAGTGTTTCGTTTAACCCAAAGGCTCTGGAAATACAATGTCCAAGGCTGAGATGCTATTAATATTAACAAGTACATCCTAAGGATACTCATGGATTGATGACTTTTCCACGTACTGTTACCAGACTCGAGTCCTTGGACCCAGCAACAATGGAAATGAGGCTGGACCCAGAATTTAAAAGCACAGGCGGGGCGCCTGGATGGCTTAGTCGGTTAAGCGTCCGACTTTCGCTTAGGTCATGATCTCGCGGTTCGTGGGTCTGAGCTGACTGCCAGCTCAGAGCCTGGAGCCTATTTCAGAGTCTGTATCTTTCTCTCTCTCTCTGACCCTCCCCTGTTCACGCTGTCTCTCTCTCTTAGAAATAAATTAAAAAAAAAGGGGCGCCTGGGTGGCTTAGTCGGTTAAGCGTCCGACTTTCGCTTAGGTCATGATCTCGCGGTTCGTGGGTTCGAGCCCCGTGTCGGGCTCTGTGCTGACAGCCAGCTCAGAGCCTGGAGCCTGTTTCAGTCTGTGACTCCCTCTCTCTCGGACCCTCCCCTGCTCACACTGTCTCTCTCTCTC